GTACAATCGGGATGTAGTCAAAAGGATAGTGCAATAGAATGGAATTTGCCGCCGACGCTCCACATGGCTGTGCCATGTGCCGATAGGGCTCATAACGCTTAGCATCGTGGTCGATCCAAATAATGAGGATGCTGAAAGTTACAGCAATGATCGTTGGCAGATAGAGGTACCAGAATGAGCGACGTAAGGGAAGTGAGTTCACCGTTGTGGCGAAAATCACTCCACCTTGAGTCTGGCTTCTCCGAAGAAAGTATTGGAGAACAGCAATAAAGGTCCAGCAGAGTAGTGCAGTTGTGGCGAGGGTCCACCATCGTAGCGCGGGAGGGTACCAGCTTTGACGGGATTGTGGGCCATCCTTTCGTTTTGGGACTAGCGTCGACAGGCGGAATCTGAGCGCTTCGAATCGTACCATTTCTTTGGTGAAAAGGCCTGCCTACAGTCTCCCCCCCGGTTCGGGTGCAAATACGAGTTTTGGGCCAAATCATAAGGTCTGATTAGTTAATACCCTCGCAAAGAAGCTTATTAAGCAAATAAGCCCTTGTTTAGGAGGTTTTATTCCTTGCTGAGGTTCTTGTTCTGCTTCTCTATTGGCTGGAAAAGGGTCCACTTTCTGTCGTATTTGCACCCGAACCGGGGGGGAGACTGTACTACAACAGCGTGCGTTAAGGAACTTCACCTTTTTCCTCCGCCTGAATATCGTTGAGATGACTTTGGAGTGCTAGTAGTGGTGCTGTCGAAGTGTTAATTTTGGCCCCCATACACGGGTGGAATTGATTGATGGTGATAGTTCCCCGAGGCGGTAGCATGTTGTCTTATCTGAAAGTCGTCAGCGCATAGGAGACGGAGTCGCCTTGCGCACCAACTGGTGATACCAAGGCGATGTGCGGACTGGTAACATCCTACGGGGCGCAGCCGTAAGCAAGCGCTGTGGGGCGGAGTCAGCTCGGTCATTGATCATTGGTCATTGGACCATGGCCCTGCAGCTTGCAGGTCCTCCACGTCTGTTATTAGAGCGGGCTATGACTTCGATTCGTCCCAAAGAGATCATCTGTGATGCGCATGATCGTATGTACAACACAAAGTGTTTTGGCGAAACATAATGTTAGCGGCGGTAGATCTGGGGTCCAGCAAAGTGCGCCTTCTATATACAGGAGCTAGATAAGCACCTCGTCTGACGTGCAATCGTTCAGCGAGGGCAACGCTGTGCAAGCCGAATGTTGGCTACCAGTGGTGAGTGTCGACATACCACTGGCCTCCGATGCATCATCACTATCCGACAACGCCCTTCCTTCTCGGCACAAATCTACATATCACGGGTTCTGCACACTTAAGGTTAAGCTCAACCTTGATCTTCATCTCCTCTGGTCCCTTCTTCCCACCGCCAAGACCACACCACTCTATCCCTTCGAACTCCTGCAGCAACCGAACGAGCACATACTGAATCTGAAACCTGCCGAACACTCTCCCAGGACACTGTCTCGGGCCAATGCTAAAGGGCAAGTAAGTTCCATATTTAGGTGACCAGGACTCCCAGCGCGATGGGTCCCAGATGTGTGCCGTGGGGCCGTATAAAGTGGGGTTGCGTTGTAGACCTGCAACTGAGTATACGATGATTTGGCCTTTCGCAACGGAAATAGGTTCGTTGCCTTCTAGACCGCCGCCGACGGGTAGGATGGCGTCAGTGCGGGCTTCGCGGATATTGAGACCGAGGGGGTGGTACATGCGCATCGATTCTTTGACGGTGTTGGCGAGGAGGTCGAGTTTGCGGAGTTGGGAGGTCGTGGGAAGGGTGTCCAGACCGATGCTGTGGAAACGAGGTCGGTTAGTGGTATGTCCCTGTCTTTCATGCTGCCGTGGAAACATATGATGCACTTACTGCTCTTCCACCTCCCTCTGTAGTTTCTTCCACAACACTGGGTCGCGGGCGAGGTGGTATATCGTCCAAGTCGTCAAAATAGCACCAGGGTCTTTGGATGCCATCAGGACGGCAATGAGCTGACCGCGGATGAAATAACGATCGTTTGGATGCGTAGAGACAAGATCTTCGACTAAGTTGAACTCCTTTTCTGTTTTCACGTCGGTTTGGTTGTTGACTGGGAGGGCTAGTGTCTTTTCGATCAGATCGTCGATGTAGTGTGTTAGATCGCGGTATGCTCTTGGTGCAAAGAGCCAGTCGGGAAAGAGGTTTGCGAGACGTCCGAAAAGGAGACGATTCGTATTGAACGTAAGGAGTTCTTCCATGGCTTTGCGAAAGGGCTGCTCGTTTGCGGAGAGGGAGTTTGTGGATTCGCCGAGAAAGACTTGGGAGACTAGGTCGAGTTGGAACCTGTCGACCATGTCGTACACATCCACCCTTTCTGGTGAGTTCTCGATCAATCTCAAAAGCTTCTGCATGTGGACTTCAGCGGTAGGAATATCATCCGGGCGCACTCTCGACACGTGCGGCTCCAATTGCTCCCTACTCGTCCTCCACAAAGGCCCGTCCGTGGTAAACACTGAGTCCCCCAAGATACTGCTAAACACATCATGTGGCGTCTGGCCTTTCGCGAAGTCCGTAAACTGATCTGCCTGGATGGCCTTGATGTTCTCGGCTCGGTCGGTAATGAAAATGTCGCTGCCTAGTAGGTTCATTTCGACTGTGCGGCCCGGTATGGAGAGGACTTCGTCGCAGATGTATTCGACGAAGGTGTTGGAGTGAAGGCGCGTTATTAGGTTCCATGCCATGTCTAGTCCTGTGGTTCATGAGGTGGTCAGTCTCACCGTCATATCCAAGTAACGCGAAAACTGCTAACCAAAGGGTAGTTTGTACGGGAGGCAAGGAGCATGCGGAATTGATGATCTCGTCTTGTTTCCATCTTTCAGTTTTGAGGCTAGAATAATAAGGAAGACAATCGTCACTGCGCCGTACAACAGCAACTTTGAGATGTCGTCCTCTATAGTAGTTAGAACGCCCATCTTCGTGGTTGGTTACTGGCCAGATGAAAGTCTTGATGAATATAGGATGCAACGTCTTCCTCTAGGTGTGCAAGGACCGGCACACGATGTATGTGCTCATCTAGTTCGACTCCAGCGCTAGACTCGCTAGGAACTTGGAGGGAACCAACGGATTGGACCACGATCAACAAGGTACTGAGGCTCTAAGTGGGTTATGGATTAGTCAAAATCGTTCACCATGGCTAGATCAGAGATGAAGCCGCTTGGGTGGGCTCCAGGTGCGTCGATTCGGGGTGACGTCGGATCGGCATGACTTCGGATAGGCTGATCTGGGGGTACTGCGGATGGAGCTAACGGAACGACTTCGGATAGGGCTATACATAAACGTTGCGGTAAGCTTTCTGCCGTGCAACGGCAAGCTCCATGAGGCCAGTGAATCGTGTCCTAGCCACAGTACTTTTGTACTGGCCTCCGGCTCAGGTTGTAACACTCTAGCTCCGAATGGTCGAGGATGTCAGTATTCTGGTAACCATCTCTATCTCCCGGAATAACTGCTGAGCCATCCATGGCTGCACTGGGCGACTCCCCCCTCAGAGGGCTAGCTCTCATTGCCAAATGCGCCTTCGAGCCCATCGTTACCGGCCCTCTTTTTGGCTTATTGCTATACGCCCCAGAGAAGACATGGAGTTGCGCCTTGGAAGCAACATCTCTTTCGCATATCGTCGATGAATACAACTTGCTCCGCGTACTGGGGTTTCTAGCTGCTATCGGTATAGTCAGGAAGACCAATGCAGCTTTGAACGCGTGGGCAACAAATAACTGGCAGATATATGCCGGTCGTGGCTGGAACTGGCCTACTGAGATCGCAGTGGTCACTGGAGGATGCAGTGGAATTGGCAAAGCCATCGCAGAATCTCTCACTTCTCATGGAATTCGCGTGGCAGTGCTCGACGTGCAGGATGCGCCCAAGATATCCGCATCGAACAACTTGTCGACATACTTCCGGTGCGACATCTCCAGCCCTGAATCGATCGCAAAAACAGCCGAGAAGATTCGCAAAGACCTTGGCAGTCCCTCAATTCTCGTCAACAACGCCGGCATCACGGGTTCTCACACCATTTTGAAAACGCCGAGCGAGTTCCTCAGTCGTATCTTCGACACGAACATTCTTTCCCACTGGCGGCTAGTTCAACAGTTTGTGCCGGACATGGTCGCAAAGAACAAAGGCCATATCGTAACAGTCGCGAGCGTCAACTCGTTCCTGACGAACTCGGCTAATGCGGACTATGTGGCAACCAAGACCGCGGCTTTGACGTTCCATGAGGGTCTTACGAGCGAGCTTAAAATCTGGTACAAAGCTTCGGGTGTCAAGACTACGATTGCGCATCCAAGTTGGGTCCGCACGCCCCTGATTGAGGAGATGATCTTGAGAAGTGGCCAAGACCCAAAGATTCTCGAGAAGATGTTGATGCCAGAGGAAGTTGCTGAGGTCATAGTGATGCAGATCATTAGCAGGCGTGGTGCTCAGTTGTTCATTCCTAGTATCGCGGCGCCTATCTCATGGTTGAAAGGGTTGCCGAACTGGGTACAGGAGCTTGTGAGAGACGCGTTTGGGAAAACGAGTGCTGTCACCAGTAGTTCGATGATCGCGTACTAGATGTCAACACTCGATTAAAACGTGTATTGAAGCATGGACGCCAGGTTGACGTTCCAGTATTTCCAGTTTCTTTCTTATGCCAAATTTGTCGTGAAGGTGGTACCAGTCGGACGGAATACTACCAAGTGACATTGGTTGCGTCTCAACCCTCTAGACCGCTACAATTCTTCCCAGGTACACACAACTGCATGCAGGAGTTCTGATACGTGTCGAGAACACGTGGGAGACTTGTTGCGGTGAATCGAGCTAGAACGGGTACTGCCGGTACGAAGAAGGGCCTTTTCGGCTGCTTGGGGCATGGGCCCATGTCTAGTCGAGAGCTCGGTAGAATTCCTATGGCTAATCTCGTGGGCTTCTGATTCGTGTTTCATTTTGGTACGATACCAGGAAACCTAGCTGGGCTACTGTAATGTCGAGTGCGGTCACTCGCATGACGGGAATGAGGCGTTACCAGTACAGGCATTCCACACAAACCTAATTCGCAGGACCAGGACTCTTGCTTATCGTGCACGATCTCTTGGCTCTGTAGCTTTATTCGACGTCTTCGCACAATCGTGGATTCTGGCGACCAACCATCGCGTTCCGTTCAGTGTTGCCTCTCATTCATCCAGTACGCAAACATGGCTGCCGAATTCTCTCTGGCCGAGACGCCAATCGGCAAATACTTCGCATCCATGGCGGAGATGGGCGTATTGCGCGTCTTCGTTGAGCACGGCATCTTCGACGCCATTCCAGAAGAGGGAATCTCTCTCAAAGACCTTACGGAAAAACTGAGCATAGAGTACAAACTTCTGGAGCGCTTCACGGCCTTCTTTCTCGCTATTGGCATGCTGACTAGCCCGGAACCTGGCCGTGTGGCGCATACACCGGCGTCAAAAGCATTCACTGACCCCCGCGTCGCGCAATTCTATTCGTACCTTTTCGACTTCTTTATGGGGCCAACGACGCGGTGGACAGACTACTTCGAGGCGAACGGGCTCGCTGAGCCGGCTAGATCGAATCGTTCGCCGGGAGGATATGCGCTGGGCATGCCTGATAAGACAGCGTATGAAATCATGGCGGCGATCCCGGGGTTGGCCACAAGGATGAATGGGGCGATGGCCATTGACGGTGATATTCCTGTTACGGGGGTGTATGATTTTGGCTGGGTAGCTGCATTTGCCGCAGGAAATGTCGGTTCGGAGAGGGAGCTGATCGTTGATGTTGCCGGAGGGAAAGGTCAGGCGTTGAAGGCTATCTTGGAGGAGACGCCTGCCATTCCTGCCGCCAGGTGTGTCCTGCAGGATCAGCCGCATGTCATCGCTGAGGCGGAGGAAGAGCACAAAGATTCTGCTGTTTTGGGTCCGGTGAAGAAGATTGGGCACAGCATCTTTGGAGAACAGCCCACCAAAGGTACGGAAATCGAGTTCTATCCTCTCAGGATACACGATACTTGCGCCATGAAACAAGCTGACGGACCACTCTAGGTGCTCTCGTGTATTACATACGTCGCGTCCTGAACGACTGGTCCGATCACGAAGCTCTTCAGATTCTAAAGAACGTGCGCGCGGCTTGCGCGGACGACTCGCGCGTGTTGATTGCTGAGTATCTGCGCCCTGAACAGCCTAGTGTATACACTAGCACGGTCGACATGTTCATCCTAAACATCGGCGGAAAGGTGCGCAGTGAAAAGGCGTTTGCCGAGCTTGCTGCGAAGGCGGGGCTGATGATCGCGTCGGTGGTGAGGCATGGAAAGACGGAGTCGGCGGTGGTTGAGATGATACCCCAGCCACCGCCGATCTAGCTGGAGGGTGTCGCGTCCGTGCGCACAGAGACCGAAATCCCAAAGCATACTAGTGCAAACTGCAGACCTCGGGACATGCTCGGGCCGTTCCCTACGCCTCTGTCACTCTAGCCGTAGAATGCAACTAGAAATCTACCGAGCGTGTATCATCGTACTCAAACTGCTAGTTGCTGTTGTCGGAACGTTCCTCGGCCTTAGCCTCACACCGCCATGGTTGATCTGGATTCTGTGACCAACTCGTCCGTCGGCCGCGTCGGCTACTCTGTGGGTACCTTAGGCGCTGGCTGACGTGCAACAACGGCGACCGGATATCTGTAGTCGGCAATGAGTCGAAGGGCCCACGGAGCGTGGGTGGGAGCATTGCACTACTCCGCCGCAGATGCATGATCCTGGCTGGAGACCACGACTTAGCCGCTATGGGAAGGATTGAGACGGCATGCAATGTAAGGGCCGGTGCAATCGTCTTCTATAGTTGACTTCGCAACTGCACGTGTTGAGCTGTCGACCTCGGCAATCATCTTCTCCAGTGCATGGGATGCTGACACAACCCGTATTTTGTATTCGTATACACTGCCAAAGAGCGTTGATATCAAGCTTTCTTCATTGCGCGCACAATGGGCTCCGAATGGACATGGCCTATTGATGCCCTCACGGAGCATCAGGAGCTCCTCTCAATCTGGGTATTGTTAGAAGTAGCCCTATGCGCCGTATTAACCCCGGACAAATGACACGTAAGATACCTCAACTGACGTACGCTACAGGTCTTTGGGCATACCGTATGGTCCGTCATATACAATCTCTACTTTAACCCACTTAGGAAAGTGCCCGGACCTCTCCTGTGGTCTGTATCGCCACTCCCACTCCTGTTGATGTCATGGTCGAGCACGCCGCACAAACAGATCCTGGCATTGCACAGGAGGTACGGCGACGTTGTCCGCACAAGCCCAGACTCAGTGTCATGCCTCCACGCAACAGCATGGAAAGAAGTGTACGGGCATCGTAAGCCCAGTCAGCCAGAGAACCTCAAGCACCCAGGCTTCGTAGCCGAAGTCGCCTCAGGTATCATCGGGGCCGACACAGAATCTCACACATATCAACGTCGTCTGCTAGCGCCCGCGTTCTCCGGGCAAGGCATACAGCGCCAGGAGCGTATCATCCGCCACCATGTCGACCAACTCTTCAGCTGTTTTGGAGAGCACTGCGCCGAAGGTCGATCCCTGGATCTGGCCAAGTGGTTCAACTTCTTCTCATTTGATGTCATTGGCGATCTCAGCTTCGGCGAGTCTTTTGCGAATATGGAGCGGAGGGACTTTCATCCATGGGTTGCGACAATATTGGAGTTCTTCGTTGCGCAACATGACATGGCACACTTCCGGCGGGCGTATCCGTTGTTGGAGGCGATGATAAGCCCTTTTGTTAGAATGTTTGCCAAGAAGATCATTGCGAAGCATAATCTGTTCATGCGTACTCAAGTTGCGAAGCGTTTAGCTTTGGAGCCCAGCCGGCCGGACTTCATTGAAGAGATGAAATCCGACAATACTCAGGGAAAATGCGTGAGTACATCCACAATGCTGTCTTGGTCCCAATTCCGCTCACGGATCTAACGGCTGGGCGATAGGGCCTTTCCCTTGAGGCAATCTGCCATAACGCGAGCATCTTCGTCGTAGCCGGGTCCGAAACAACTGCAGTTGCGTATGACGAAGCTTTCCTCTTTTGTCCAATTTATTTGGAAGTATCAATGTACTAACCATCTCTTGAGTCAGACTTGCTGGGGCAACTTATCTCCTCTGCACCCACCCTGAGACGCTCGCTAAGCTAGGGAAAGAGATCGACGCATCTTTCGATAGCGAAGAACAGATCACACTCCTCAGTGCGCAGCGTCTCAGATACCTCTCGGCTGTCATAGACGAGACCTTGCGTATTCATCCGGCTGCTGTAGGCTCAGTGCCACGACTGATTCAGCGCAATGGCGAGGTTGTCGGGGGGCACTTTCTGCCCGGAGGGGTAAGTATCCAAAGCATTCCCGCAAATCCTTCTGTGAAATTCTGAGCACGTCGCTGATTGCAATGGGGAAAACCTAGACCTGCGTGGACATTTGGCACTGGGCAATGTATCATAACCCAGCCAACTTCACGGAACCAGAAGTTTTCGCCCCAGAGCGCTGGCTCGGAGATCCTCGCTTCGAAGCGGATAAGAGAGCGGCATTCCAGCCCTTCTCGACAGGAAAACGCAGCTGTATCGGTCAGAAGTACGCCACGTCCTGTCTCCGGTATCAATACGAAAGATTTCGCTGACTGAGAATTCGCGACTAGTTTGGCACATTCCGAGATAAAGCAGATATTGGCCCGGCTGCTGTGGAAGTACGATATTGAGCTTGTGGACCGCGAGTGGCTTGAACAACCATGGCACGATCAACGCGTGCGCGCATCTTACGTGCAACCGCCTTTGAACGTGAGGCTTATCCTCAGACGAGAGAAATGAGATCCGGAGTAAAGATGTAGTGTGGGAACAGCTGAGATTGCATTGATGATGAAGCTCAGGTGTTCTCTGCCCATGGGCAGGCGGGAGGCAGGAACCTCGGAGGCTGGAGCCGAGGCTCCGTGGGCTTGGCATTGATCTCGTCCCGCCATCTGTCACGTCGCGTCGCGTCGCGAACAACAACATTTCCCTTCTTCAATTCTTCGAACGCAGCTACCACTTATTTTACGGGCTAGATTGTAGCTACACAAGGTATCTTCGACCAGCACAACTTCACCAGTAAGAAGACTTGATGTGGAAAGAGCTACCTGCGTTTTGATGACGTCAATATCTTTGGCACTGCGAGATGGCAGTTTAATTTGACCTTCCCAGCTAAAAGCCTTGCATTGCGCTGTGCGAAACGTTCATGGATTCCAAAATCTGCCTGGTCTCGCTCAGAACCTTCTTTTCCAGATCGTCACCACGTTTCGAATACATCAGAACGGGATAACTACGACAGTGTCAGCGAAAACCTCAGTCAGAGTGCATCGTTACAGTTCCTCGACTTACGGACGTACTCCCCACTCACTCAAGAAGCCCCCATGGCTTTCTCGGCCTGCTACCACTACAGCATGAACATACGTACTGGCACCTTCTGCCAAACTTCTACCAAACAAAGCGAAGTACACTATCAACATATACCTCATGACAGCGTTTGCGTTCAATGTACGCCAGATCTCCGTTTCTCCTACCAGCCCAGGACAAGCTGTGTTGACAATCACCTCATCGGAGTTCACAAGCGATGCCAGCCTCCTCACAAAAATCATCTGTAACAGCTTCTCGCGCGCATACCATTTCGTAACATCATACTTCTCGTCGAACTGCGGCAAGATTGGTTTTTCTTTGTCGAAATCCGCGAAATATGCCGTCGTCGACGTTACAACTGTGAGCCTCGCCGGCCGTCCCACCAACCCGGTTTTGGCTCGCAATATCGGCAGGAGAAGCACCGCCAACATGATAGTCGAGAGGTAGTTGACCTGGAAAGTCTGCTCTTTGCCTGTCTTGGGCGAGACAACATAGTCCTTGTTCTGCACACCGGCGTTCAAAACGACCATGTCCAGCCTACCCAGAGTCTGACATCGTCCGGCAAACGCCGCGACAGATTCGGGATCTTCCATATCTAGGATCCAGACTTCGACTTCAGCGCGTATAAACTCCCTGCGGAGGACTTCTGCTGCAACGTCGCCTTTGGCCTGCGATCGGACGGCTAGAATGAGCCGAGAGAGATCTAGCTGGAGGAGCTGTCGCGCTGCCTCGAACCCCAGGCCGGTATTCGCGCCGGTGATAATGGCTGTCTGACCTCCAAGAGTGACTCCTGCTGCGATTGGCGGAGGATGCATGAACAGTTGGCGGTACATGAAGCCTATACCGCTTTGGAAGGTAAGGCGACTGTTGATTCGGTCCCACAAAGACATGTCGACTGCGTTGTGTTCGAATTCGGAGATACTGTTTGTGATCCATCATCAGAACACGTTACTATCTGGACGACTTTAGTGGCAGCGGTGAGCCCTCGAAGGTGAGGTGTTTGCATTTGTGGGTCAAAACGGATCCTGAATTGTGCTCGTATCATACGTAAAGCCACCGAGCTATGGCCTAACCACCGGAGTAATACCTAGCCACCGGATTACGCCCTAGCCACAATTCATAGAGTCCGGCCGGTTCAACAGCCACCGAGGTGGGTACAATCGCATGCGGTACTGGCCGGTTTAGCGTCTCCACATACGGTAATGTGCCTGGCACCATGGTAGCTACTCTGGTCCTTTGAGACAAGGAAGGTACTCATGGGTCGTGACCAAGATGAAAGCGATTTTCGGCGAGACGTCCATTGTATTTAGCAAAGCTTCGTGACCGTCTTTTCAACGAATCAAGCTTGCACGCATCGAATTCCCAGACTTAAATTGTACTTGCGACCATTTCAGGTAATCTTCCACAAACCTTATTGTCAAGTCTAGGAGCATCTGCACCTGGCAAGGAGGTTATAAGACGTTGGCAAAGCTTATATCCGTTAAGCTTGAGTACTATACCAAATACCGCAATCATGGCTACTACCGACAAGACAACGCCCATAGCCATCATCGGCATGAACATGAAGTTCCCAGGCGACGCCGTATCCGCCTCCTCCTTTTGGGAACTGATAATGAGTGCTCGAAATGTGTCCAAAGAGATACCCGCCGACCGCTTCAACATAGATGGCATGCAATCATTCTCCCCACGGAAGCAAAAATGACCCAAGCTGACTTGAACCAACAGCATTTTACCACCCCGACCCAAATCGTCTAGACAGCCTACGCATCCGACACGCCCATTTCATGGAAGAAGACCCCCGCAGTTTCGACGCCCCCTTCTTCAACATGTCCTACGCCGAAGCCTCAGTTCTCGACCCGCAACAACGCGGCCTCCTCGAAGGCGCCTACCGCACGTTCGAAAACGCCGGAATACCTATGGAGACACTCTCTCGTTCTCCCACATCAGTCTACTGCGCCTCCTTCTCGCGCGATGGCGAAACAATAACAGGTCGGGACTTCAGTGCACAGTCTCGGTATCATGCTACGGCGAATGGCTCATCCATGCTGAGTAACCGCATCAGTCATTTCTTCGATCTCGCAGGGCCGAGTTTGACGGTCGATACGGCGTGTTCATCAGGGTTGTACGCGCTGCATCTTGGTGCGCAGAGTATTCTTGCGGGAGAGAGCAAGATGTCGCTTGTCTGCGGCGCAAACACATTTATTACACCAGAGAGCCAGGCACTTGCGCTCAGCAACGGCGGATTTCTGAGCGTGGATGGAAAGAGCTACAGTTTTGATGCCAAGGCGAATGGATACGCTAGGGGCGAAGGGTTTGGCTTTGTCTTGCTGAAGCCGCTGGATGCGGCACTGAGGGATGGCGATGTTGTCAGGGCGGTCATCAGGGCGACTGGTGCGAATCAGGATGGGAGGACGCCGAGTATCACACAGCCAAGCCAACAGGCTCAGCTGGATTTGCTGCGGGACACGTATCGTGTTGCAGGGCTCAATGTTTCTGATACCGACTACGTTGAAGCTCACGGGACTGGCACGCCCGTTGGTGATCCTATTGAGGCGGCAGCTGTAGGGCAGGCTTTCCGCGATGGTCGTAAGGCGGACAGACCGCTTTACATGGGATCTGTGAAAGCGAATATCGGTCATTTGGAGGGCGCTTCGGGTATGGCTGGTGTCATCAAAGCCGTTCTCGCGCTGGAGAATGCGGTGATTCCGCCAATTGCCATGTTCGAGAAGCCGAATCCTGCTATCGATGTAACTGGTCTGCAGCTCGCATTCCCAAGAGAAGCAGTTCCATGGCCAGCAACAGGAATTCGCAGGGCTTCCGTCTCCTCCTTCGGTTATGGAGGTAGCAACGCCCATGTCATCCTTGACGACGCATACAACTACCTGCGCACCCACGGCCTTCAAGGTTTGCACCAATCTGTCGGAGAGTCCATACATACCAACGGCCACACAAATGGACACACGAACGGTAACGGCAACGGCGTTCTCCCGTTCACAACTCCATACGCCATCATCCCCTTCTCAGCCGCAGACAGCGACGGCACGAAGCGCCAAGCAGAAGCCCTCCAGACGTTTCTCTCTTCAAACGAAGCCCCCACCACCGCGAACTTCCTCTCAGATCTAACACATACCCTATTCTCTCACCGATCTCTTCTCCAATTCCGGTCTTACGCCGTCATCTCATCCCCTACCGACGATCTCACCACTATCGTCTCGCCCAGCATCTTCAGCAGTACTTCCTCGGCCCCTGACTTGTCCTTCGTGTTCACAGGGCAAGGCGCACAGTATGCCCGTATGGCGAACGGTCTCCTGCATTATCCCGTCTTTCGTCAGAGTCTTGAGGATTGCGACGCGTATCTCGCTACTCTCGGTAGCACCTGGTCTGTGCTAGAGGAGCTCGAGAAGAACAAGGACGCGAGTCAGGTGTCCAAGCCAGCGCTGTCACAACCTCTCTGTACAGCTATTCAAGTGGCGCTCATCGATCTACTTCGCACATGGGGTGTCATCCCCCGTGCTGTGGTTGGACATTCGTCGGGTGAAATTGCAGCTGCGTACTGTGCAGGTGGACTGGATCGCGAGAGTGCATGGCGAGTGGCCTACTTCCGCGGTGTTGTCGCCGATAAGCTGGCGTCTGACCCAGCGAGAGAGCCAACGACAATGATGTCTGTGGGCTTGGGCAAGGCGGCTGTCCAGACATATCTGAAGGCCGAGCCAACGGTGACTGTCGCATGCGAGAACAGTCCTGTCAACGTCACGTTGTCGGGTCCCACAGTGGCTGTCTCGCGCTTATTCGACACGCTGGATGCTGATGAGATCTTCGCACGGAAACTGACTGTGAAGATTGGGTACCATTCCGAAGCGTTGCGGGATGGCGCGGTGAACTATGAGAATTCGCTGGCTGGAATACGCGCACCAACGAGGGAGGGCAAAGAACCGAGCACTGTCGCCTTCTTTTCATCCACCGAAGGCAGCTTCATCACACTGGAGGGTCTTGCGAGTCCGAGCTACTGGGTGAAGAACCTGCTCTCCCCAGTCCTGTTCACTGACGCGGTAACAGCGCTGGTAAGCGAAAAGAAGCAGGTCTCCAAATTCTTCGTCGAGATCGGCCCTCAATCCGCTCTTCGACGCCCCGTCAAAGATATTCTTAAGCACCTAGGCGAAGGCGAGGAAAAATGGTCGTACGCAGCTGTACTCAACCCTCGTCAGCCTGACGTCCGCACCCTCCTCGAAACCATCGGCGCTCTTTGGAGCGCTGGCCTCCCCATCGACCTCAACTTGCCCAACCAAGCCACTCTCAAGCCTACAGCCAAGCCAAAGCGAATAACAGATCTTCCCGCCTACCCCTTCTCCCGGGCCAAGCTCTACTGGGATGAACCCCGTCTCAGCGCCCTCTACTCCCAGCGCCCCTTCCGGCGACATGCTCTCCTGGGTCTACGTGAAAACGACTTCAACGCTGCCCAACCCACCTGGCATCACAAGATCCGCCTCGCCGAAGCCCCTTGGATCGTCGACCACGCTCTCGAGGGCTCGCCGCTTTATCCCGGCACGGGTATGCTCGTAATGGCCATCGAAGCTGCGCGTCAGCTGCTTCCGCCTAGCGCAGCCATCAGCGGGTATAGACTTGAGAACATTCGCTTCATGCGCTCTATACCTGTGAACGAGACGGAGAAGGGCACCGAGGCGAAGATATACCTCCAACCGCGCCGGCACACTGCTAAAGACGCTGCACAAGGCGTGTATGACTGGCGTGTCTTCACTCTCGGTGGGAATGAGTGGATTGAGTGTGCATTTGGCAGCATTCGCGTCGAGCTTGAGGAAAGTGAGCCTTCTCCAGAGACAACCTCGCGTAAAGCTAGATGGGAGAAAGCTGTGGGCGAGGAGCACGCAAGCGCGGCGAAGCAATGCACGTTGAGTGTGCAGAGCGCCCAGCTGTACGAGAATTTGAGTAAAAAATCTGGATTCGACTATGGCCCGTATTTCCAAGGCTTGCGGGACATTAAGTACTCGCGCAACGGATGTGCAACTGGCACTCTTGCGCTTCGGGACTATGCGAAGAGTATGCCGTATGCCGCCGAGGACCCGTGTGTCATCCACCCCACAACGTTCGACTCTGTATTCCACGTGGGCTTTGTCTCGCTGAGTATGGGTGGGTGGGAACCGATACCAACGCTCATGTTCAGCAACCTCAAGGACTTGTGGGTGTCGCACAAGCTGTTCACGCTGCCTGGCAACCCGCTGCTACATGTCGCGACAAAGGAGGTGGCTCGCACGTTCAGGGAGTTTGAGTGGGATGCCAGTACGTTGCTTGCTGAAACAGGTGAGCCTGTCATTGTCGCCAAGGGTGAGCGCGGCACTGTCATCGCTGGTGCGGGCAGCAGCACACGTGACGATGATGGTGCAAGTCGTTTCTCATACGGCATCGACTTCAAGCCCGACCTCTCGCTGCTAAGCAAGGCCGAGACAGAGACATACTTGAAGGCGCTGTTCGCGCGCGACCCGCAGTTTTCACCCGACCCGAAGGATGCTGAGGCTGTCGACCGTGCGGACGCTATTGCACTTTATTTCATCGAGCAAGCGCTGGATAAGATCGAGAACGGCGAGCCAGTAACGTTTGACAACCACCTGACCAAGTACGTGGACTTCCTACGCAAAGTCCGTGCAAATAGGGAGAAGTATACATTGGAGTCCCGAGGATTAGGGCATTTGAGCATTGAGGATGTCTTGCGCGAGGCAGATGACGAGCCGACGCAGAAGCTGGTGAAGAAGGCTGGTGAGCATTTATATGGGATCTTGACCGGGACGGACAATGCGCTACAGATTATCTTTGAAGGCAATCTGGCTAACGGTAAGTTGAACAACTCATACCGTGGACATGAACAGGTAGACTGACA